CAGGGTCAGGAGTGGCAGCCGTGCTGCCCAGTGGAGTCAGGGTCTGGCACAGGTCAAGGATGTTCAGAAGTTGGCCGTGCAAGTTTGGAACCCTTAGCAGTGGTTGACAGGTCTGTGACAATTTAGGGCACCGGATGAAGCCATCTTCTGTACCATGGGGGTGCCAACCACATCTGCGGGAGCAGAGTGGCCCATGATTCTGGTGGTACTTTGTGGTTGTTAACTATACCCACAAGTGCATGGGATCCTGGGTTTCTTTCACCTAGAGAGAGTTGGGCTTGACTTATTAGCCTTACAGTAGGAATTGTTGGAACTGGATACCGCAGGTACCTGGGGGTGAATATCCTAGCATTGCCTGTTTCCTTTTTGGATGAAAGTTAAAAAGGGATGCCCCAAGCTTGCGGATCAGGCTAGTTCCGTGGGTTGAGCTCCTTCATTGAAAATCAGACTGCTCAGGTGTGACCCTCCTGCATGCACAGTGCTGCTGCCCGAGCAGGTCCGTTAGTTACCCAGGAGCCAGTATGTTCCTCACAAGGAAGCTGCGGCTGTTGCCAGCTTGGGTTAGTTTGTTCAGTATATGGGACAAACGTCTAGGGTGGGAGCTCCAGCATTTCAGTGACTCTTGAGGGTGTGCATGCCTCACCAGGTACATGCTTGGATTGAACAGTGTGTGCAGTCTTGTAGTACTGCAGATATCTTTTTCCTATTTTGTTTGCTTTGAATATATCTATTGAAATGTAATTTTTTTTTTTTTTGAGTTGGAATCTCACCCCATCACCCAGGCTAGAATGCAGTGGCACACTCACGGCCACCCCAGTATCTACCCGCTGGGCTCCAGTGATCCTTCTGCCTCAGCCCTCCAAGTAGCCAGAACTATAGGCATGTGCTACCTCGCCTGGCTAATTTTTTTAATTTATTGTAGAGCTGTGGTGTCACAAAGTTGCCCGGGCTGGTCTCGAACCCATGGACTCAGGCAGTCCCCTCACCTTGGCCTCCCAAAGTGCTGAAATTATAGTCTTGAGCCACCATACCCGGCTGAAATGTAATTTTAATGTCTGAATCTGGCAATAAAACTTCAAAGCTTTTGTTTTTTGTCTATCTTGGAATTTGTTTCAGTTTTTAGGTAGTTACTTTTATTGTGCTTAGTGAAAGTGTCAGTACAGGTCAGGTGGGAAGCACTGTTGCTATCCTTCCCTGGATGACTGGCACAGCCTGGTTTGAACTCTGGGGGGCCTGGTGGGCTCCCGAAGCATGGGGCACTATGGTGGCAGGGAGACAGCCGCATGTGGAGCCAGCCTTCCTGATGTTTCCATATCCATGTGGTCTTGTGTTCTGGCCTTATCTGCCAGCATGGAGTACCTGCGGCACCTGGTGGCGTTTGCTGGGTGCTGAGTGTTGGACATCTTTGGCACCAAGACTGTTAGAACAGAGCTGGCAGCTCAGCCCTGGGGACCCTGGAACTGGTGCTTTCACTCTTTAAAGCTGTGGAAGTAACAGCTGCACTGGAGTCAGAACATGTTCAGGACACTAAGAGGCATGCCACACAGCTGTGAAGGGATGCAGACTTTTAGCCTCTGCTGCTTCCTGGGAGCGGCGGGGGGGGGGGGGGGCGCAGGTATACACACATGGAGGGGTATGTGCCCTGGCTAGTTGGCTCGGTTTTAAACTATTTGTTTTGAAATAATGTGTGACTTACACAGAAGAGCTGTGAAGACACTGTGGAGAGTTCCTGTCTACCCCTCACTCAGCCTCCCCTTGTGGTCACATCCTACTTGTCTGGGTACACTCTGGGCAGGATTCTTTTCCCTTGAATTTGGAGCACAAGAGCTCATTCCTGCAACACATAGGCCGCTGGAGCCCGCCTTGAGTTTGGGTCATGTACGTATAGCTCCTGCAGCCTTATGAAGTCAAGAAAGGCCTGGGTCCCCAGCCCATCACGAGTGCAGCTTGGATGTCCAGGGAGGTCTCTACTGGCGACAGTTTGGAGATGTGCTGGTGTCACAGGCGCCGGATCCAGGTGAGGGTGGCAGTGCCATCTCGTCTAATCACAAAGACTTTCCTATCCTGATTGTGTTGGGCCTGGTGTGGTCAGAGCCAAGACTAAGTGCCCTTGGCACCCTCCAGAAATTGTACCTTATGGCAGGCCACTCCCAGACAGAATCGCGAGTGGGAGAGTTAACGCTGGAACGGTACTGGGGATGGTGGGCAGGGCCTTGGGGAGGCCTCTGGAGCCTTACCCTGGGGGTCTCGTCGCATCATCCTTTGGCTCCTTTTATTCATTCATCAGATATTTATTTACTTATTTGAGTTGGAGTCTCACTCTGTCACCCAGGCTGGAGTGCAGTGGCACGCTTCTGGCCACCGCAGCCTCAGCCTGCTGGGCTCCTGCGATCCTCCTACCTCAGCCTTCCAAGTAGCCGGAACTACAGGCGCACACTACTGCGTCTGGCTGATTTTTATGATTTATTGTAGAGATGAGGTCTCGCCAAGTTGCCCTGGCTGATCTTGAACCCGTGGGCTCAGGCAGTCCTCTCGCCTCGGCCTCCCAAAGTGCTGGGATTACAGGCTGAGCCACCGAGCCCGGCCCATCAGATATTAAGAGCCAAGGTGCTGTCCATTGTGATGTCTTCGTTCACTGGATGTAGAAAGGGAGAAAAAAGTAAGCTCTTTTTTTTGTTTTTTTAAATAAGAAGTGCTAAATCCTTGGGAGAAGACCCCTTGAAGGCAGGCAGGTGGTATGGGGTAATAGAAGCTCCCGCAGGCCACTCTGGCCGGCTGCACAGCCCCAGATATGCTGGCTGCATCTGAAACATGCTCCTGCCTGTTCTGTGGTGTGGAACCTCAGAGACGGTACCTAGCACTCCCTACGTGGCCAAGCCCTGTGCCGACTGCAGCCCACAGCACCTCACTCCATCAGGCCTGTCTCCCATTTCCTTTTGTCAGTTTCTTACATATGCTGTGGTTTGATAGCTTTCCAACCCTCCTCTTCAACATCATAAGACTCATTTGTTCACTAGAAAGTATGAGTCACTTCTTGGTAGCGGGCGATCATGTTAGCTGCCATTTGCTGAGGCCTCCCTGTGGCAGATGGGAACACACTGTCACTGCCACTCTGGGTGGGTCCAGGTGGGCCCCAGGGACCTCTTGGTGGAGGGCATCCTGGGAAGAGGGTGGCTGGGGAGTGGCTCCCAGAGATGAGCATCAAACTGACCTTGCCATCAGCTTTGTGTCTTGCCCAGCTCTAGGCCAGGTCCAGGCCACTGACCTTGCCATCAGCTTTGTGTCTTGCCCAGCTCTAGGCCAGGTCCAGGCCTTCCTCCCTGCGGCCCTGCCTTCCTCATGTGGCCTCACTGCTAAGCACTGTGGCAGGCGCAAGATCAGTGGCTGGCATGGTGGGTGCCTACCCAGTGCCCTGAATCTGATCTCCAGTGCTGGGCATGGCTGAAGATGAAGTGCTTGTTGGGTGCAATGATGATGGCAGAGTCGGATCACATCACTCAGCAGTAGTATTGTGGCCAGACTTTGTGGGCATATCTACCCTTGGCACTGTCCTTGGGAGGACCAGTGCTGGGGCATGGCCTGGCCATGTGGTGTTTAAAATGTGGAGAACAGGAGGTGGGCAGAGAATGTGTCAGCAGTGGTTCTCTCTAGAGGGACGAAAAAACACCAGTGACTTTATGATTTTTCTTGGTTCCCTGTGTGGTTCCTAAGTGTGATGGATGTTCACACCCATGTGAGCCATGCCTTCCTCTGACCTTGTTAGCATGTTGCCCCTCTGATTTGGAAAAATAAGAATTCTTCTTGATATATTTCTTACTTTCTTCATTTTCTATAGGGAGCTGGTTATTATTATAAGCAGGGTATAGTAAACAGTTGTGAAGGAGTGCATTGACTACACTCGTGATCTCATTTGCCTGCGGCTTCACTTTAACCTTACTTCGTGTGAAGTGCCATGTTCTGTACATCCTTAACCCCCTGCACTGACTTCACGTGTGTCTGCAGACAACCTTGGCTGACCGCTGGCCAGTCTTGTGCTTTGCTATTGGATAGAGTCACGCCTCCATTACAGCTCTCCAATTTTGCTCATTTCCTTACCTGTTCATTATTCTAGATGAACTTTGAGATTGCTTTATCAATATACACTTAAATTTTTTTGGCAAAAATTGGGATTGTACCACATATATAGATTGGGACAATGTGATCTTTGTATTAGTTTTCTCATCCAGGGACAAGGACTGTCCTACCACACACCCCCAGGGCTTTTGTAGGTCTTGGTCAAGTTTTAGAGTAGAGATATGTATGTATATGTATATATATGTGGGGGTGCCAAAAATGTATACACATTTAAAGAGATGTTTCCTATGTGTTACTTTGTGAAGTTGAATTAAATTACGGTAGCAATGTGTAGTATGACAGTTGCTCAACTGTGCTTCTGCTATTTTCTTTAACTGTCCTGCCTGTCACATGGTGATGCTGGCATTCATTTGATTAACGCCATCTTTTGAGTGAACGTCATACTTAGAATGTGTATACATTTTTTTCGGCACCCCTGTATATATATTTTTTTCTTTTTTTGAGTCAGAATCTCACTCAGTCACCAAGGCTGGAGTGCAGTGACACAGCTCACCATGGCCTTGACTTCCTGGGCTCAGGCAAGCCTCTCACTTTAGCCTCCTAAGTAGTTGGAACTACAGGTATGCACCACCATACCCAGCTTTTTTTTTTTTTTTTTTTTTTTTGTAGAGACAAGGTCTTACTGTGTTAACCAGGCTGGTGTCAAACTCCTCAGCTTAAGCAGTCTTTCTGCCTTGGCCTCCCAAAAGGCTGGGACTGTAGACATGAGGCACCACGCCCAGCCTAGAGTAGACATATTTTGAGAGAACAAAAGGCCATGACTTTTGCCTCTAAAAGTGCCATACAGGAGACCCAGTATGTCCTGAATGTTGGGATGGTGATGCACATAAACCAATTGAGTGACTTCTTAACCATCTCTTCTCTAGGTGCCCTATGAGACGCTGAATAAACGCTTTCGAGCTGCTCAGAAAAACATTGACCGGGAGACGAGCCACGTCACCATGGTGGTGGCAGAGCTGGAGAAGACCTTGAGCAGTTGCCCTGCGGTGGACTCTGTGGTCAGTCTCCTGGATGGCGTGGTGGAGAAACTCAGTGTCCTCAAGAGGAAGGTGGGTTCTATTTCTGGGTTTATCTTCCTCAGCCAGAAAGGACAGGTTCTCAGTGTGTCTTAAAATGAGCTGTCTCCTGTAGGAGCTATGACATGCCTGGCCAGGAGACCTTAAGACAGAGAAGAGAGCTGTTATGGCAGGAATGTGGGAGGTGCACTGTTGGGGCCCCCTTCCCTGCTGGCCACATCTGGGTCCACTGCTGGGCTGAGCAGGCCCACTTTCTGTTCGGGTGGGAACTGTGTTGTCTTGGCTCTGGGGGTGTCCCAAGCCTAGGCAGTAGAGAGGCCAGGATGTGTAGCAGGTCAACTTAGAATTGCTATAATTTCACCTTAAAATAGCCTGTGACGTTTCTTGTCACTGACACTGGTGGTCTAGGATGTTAGTACTAATCTGCCCAATGAAAGCAACCCAAAAAGTGGGATAAGATTTTTTTTTTTTTGAGTTGGAGTCTCACTCTGTCGCCCAGACTGGAATG